AATATTTAAACGTTCCTATAAAATAACTAGTTGATATGTGGTTATCGTATCAATCAGTAAGTCGAGAAAAGTAATTTCCAATTTTACTATTGTACAAAACACTTGTGCGCGAATCCGACCCTCACTCGATCGGGTCAGTTCAGAACCCTTTCACATACATATTTTGATTATCATCATAAGGTCGTCGTCCTAAGACTAGTTGGACACGTACCTCCACGTTTTCTTATTCTGAGTTAATCTTCACAATTCCTTAAAACTGGAACATCCCACATCCTTAACTACTTGTAAATTTAGTCTAGGTCTACCTCTTCTCCTCTGAACTTCTGTTTCTGAGTCAAACTTGCCATTCGTTTATGTCGTATTTACTTTTGAGAAGCGAATTCGTCAAGTTTATAAAAATTTCTAGTTGAAACTGTCAACCTTTGTTCTCTTAAAAATACGAAATTTCTCTTGATATTTCAGTGATCAAAAATATTCAAACGGCAAAAGAATTCGAATGTTGAAAATCGGAAAATGAGATCACAATAACCGATAGGATAAAAGGAATAGCTGATGTTAACTGGCGCTGTTCTCTTTTGATAGAGTTTAAAGTTCGTAAACTTTTGGTATTGGTTTTAACAAATGCTTTGAAGACAGCTTTTCATACAACACGAATGTGAATACTCGACTGTAGACTAGCATTTTCTATCGCGGCATCGCCCGCAGTACATAACCGCTTATAACTCGAGAACTATAATACCTATGAAAAATCGAAGAACATACATACATAACAGAATTTCAATATTGTTCGAATGACGCCTCACCCGAGTATATATACTTGAGGTAAAGGTTACCTGTTGTGACCTTACCTAAATTCCAACATTTTTGCAAACGGTTATAAATCAACTTCGTGTGCGCTAGACTGCTGCATATGATACAGTCAGTCAAGTCAATACTGCAGTTACCCTTATGAACCACAAATCTTTGGAAACAAGAAATTCGAACCACTTTTGCACGAAAGCTTTAGAAATAGCATATGCAGTAAATGTTTTTTGCTGATAAAGGCTGGGTAGTTTTATCTTAGAAATCTTAAGATAATGAACCCCATTTCAATTTCTAGTAGTAGGTACCTAAAGATAGGTGCAAACTATCATGCACGTTTTATCGTTTCAGGCACATATCGATTACGTTCCTAAAAATATTATTTAATGTCTTTAATAGGAATTAATTCAGACTGTCCGGCACGTATCGTATCAGACACTTGTGCTTCCGTTCAGTACACTTGGGAACAATATTTATCGGATGGATACCGCTTTTTGCAAACTATAAATAATCGTTTTCTAAAATTAGTTTAACTTCTATACATACATATAGGTATCAAAATAAAATATTTATCATCATCATCATACGGTCATTAGTAGTAAGTCTAGGTGGATACGCACCTCAACATTTTCCTAAAACTAGAACATCCCATATCCTTAACTATTTGTGAACAGTAATCTAATCTAGGTCTGTCTCTACCCTTCTTAAAGCCTATTTCTGCTTCTAATATGTAGAGACAGTTAGAGTAGCCCTTCATGCCTGAGAAGGTGTCATACCAACCCATATCGCCTATTTTTCTTTCCATAGTGACCTCTGTTCTCCTATTCTTTCCAATACTTCCTCATTTTCATTTCCTTTTCTTTTCCGCTGCGACCACTGTCGATGTTTGGCATCCATAAATTAACCGTTCGCGAACATAGAAGTGACTTCTTCTTTTCTCGTTCCTGAGTTATCTGAATTCCTAGATACCGAAAATTAGTCACTTCTTCTAATTCTTCGTCTCTAATTTTTATATTTGCTCTTTCCCTGCTTTTTGTTCCCTTGAATACCAATATTTTTGTCTTACAGGTAATAATTATGTTATTATATAATAAAAAGTAGTTTTGTTAAGCCCAGTCTAACATACTAACAAAAACTTTAAGAAAAATATTAATTGAAACAGTAACAACTATATATAAGAACATAGGCTTTCGCGGTCGAAATCCGGGGTTGAATCATAATTCGGGCTAAATGAACCGTTAGGCCCAGACGTTTCGTCAGCGACTGCGGCTGACAATTTGAACGATCGAAATCTCAGCAGTAACAGTTCATTTGTACCACGTTACTTCATCCCGAATCGTAATTCTACCGTAAAACCTAGATTAATAAAAATTGCTTTTTAAAATATTTTATTTTCATTAATTAATTGAATTTGTACTAAAGATATTTTGTATAACTACACCCATACGTTAAGACGATGCAAATAAGTAAGAAATCATTTGAACGGAATAATTTTTGCAAGACAAATGAGAATGCATCAACTGACTAAACCCAACTGAAGTGGTTCATGTCATACAATGTGAATGCACAGGTTGTTGAACCGGAAACCATACGTACAAGATAATCTGTATCGACCTTTAACCACAGTAAATTTACTAATCGATAAAATCACGATGGTATGAACGAAATTTCTTCAAGCTAATGAAAATAGCTTCACATCAAAAAAAGATCGGGTATACGTCAGAATCCAAAATAGAATTAAGTGTTATTTGGGCTTTATTCCTTTCTTCCAATCAAAAGAAACCAAATCAGAAACACAATCACTAGAGAATCCATGAGAAATGAGATGTTAGTGAAGCGGATCAACTTTAATTTCACAAAAGCATGTTCCTATCGTCAGTTTCACCAAACTGAAATAGAAGTGGATAGATACATATATACATTAACACTGGGTAACCTTGTTCAATATATACGCATTTGCATAGCATTTACAATAACTTCAATTTGATAAGCTGCCTACACACTTAGAGAAATCAACCAAATAGAGAATTGTTCTCGAATGATTTACTTCATATAATTTACGAATGCACCTCAGAAATTACTTAACATGTAATCAGTCTTAACCCACACATTACAAACTCAAACTAATTATTGGTAACAATATGAAGCTAATGGGATATTCTAGTTTTACGGAAATGCGAAGATTGGCTCAGGATAGGAAAGAGTGGAGGTGCGTGTCCAACCAGTCTTAGGACTGACGACCTTATGATGGTGATGATGAAGCTAATTATACTTAACTAAGGGCAAATACGAAGCGGACAGAACCTTCTTATCGTTTTCACATGAGCTTGCGGTAGCTACTGCACGAAGCCGTGACGTATAAAATGCTACTCGAAAACACATTGGATATTTGCTACGATCTCGTGATTTAATCAATCACGTATCTAGTTTCTGCCCCTTTTTTATAAAATTGAAATTATGTAATAGCAATAATTGAACATAAGTGCGAGAGAGACGGCGAAAACTTAAAAGAAAACCATTATAAAGCAAAAAACAGTGAGTTCCTTTATATTTTTCTTTGAATAATGTTCTACGATATAATTTTTTTAAGGATGATATAGGGATAAGTCTCTGAAATGACCAGAAAAAACCTCACCCAAAATTTCCTTCAGTTGACATAATTAATAGATAATTAAAAACTAAATATCTAACTTAAAAAATATAATCCAAAATATATTTTCAATTTATAGTAGCTTAGATAATTTTCTCGCTTGCTGTAACCCAACATAAAATTTTGCACAGGAATTCATTATACAACGTAGGGGTGCAATAAAGAAGAAATTTTTAATATTAAATCCCTAAAAGGGCGAAACAATGACTAATAGTTTAAACATTAAGTTAATATTAGATTGTTCTACTAACTTCAAAGTTATTGCAACTATTTTAGGAAATAAATAAGTGAATAAGTATATGTTCTTTAGATTCTAATAAATCTACACCGAAGGGGTTGAAATGGGGAGTTGATCTATAATTTGTAAGTACATTTGACAAATTTATAAACAAAATAGAAACATAGAAAGCATTTTTGGAGTTTCATCCCGTAATGGTAGAAATACGGTAAGTACCATTTAGGCATAAATTCGAAAGAAATCAGATTTAAATAAATATTAGAAGTGAATCAGTCTTCTGTTTGAAGTTGATCATTAAGGGATGAAATAAGGGATGAATGTTTATATAGAAATGTCATTCTTGAAGTTATTGACATGAATTAATGAATAGGTATGTGCTTTACAGTTCTTTTAAAATTGAACAATAAGGGGTGAAATAAGATATTAAGGTTTATATGGTCCCGTTATTTTTGAAATGAAAGCTAAAAATTGATAGGTATTTAGGCTCTTAGTTGACATATAAAGTGTAGAAGGAGGGGGGGGGTTAATAATCTGTAAAATCCTCACTAATTCACCAACACACAGCGAAAAATTACCGAATCGAAATCAACATTGTACAGCAGCTTCGTTTTATGATACGAGCCTTTATTAAGAATCAGTTTTGCGAAATTCATCGCCCAAGTCAGAGTTTCAAAACTTTAGTAAGTACGTTCAATTGAGTTGTTTTCGACCACGGACAGTTTTAGAAATAATCGCATTAAATCCAAAAATTATAATAATAAATAAAAAAATAATAATGGATAAAATTAATTGGATAATACATTAATTTTACCCTAGAATTCAAAGAATCTTATTAACAATAATGATTATACATTAGTTCGACGATTCTGTGACCTATACTCCTCAATGTTGCTGCTATCATCTCCTTGTAGCTTAGTGATAGAGTACTAGTGCGTAAAATCAGATGCCCGGGTTCGATTCCCGGCAAGGGAATGACAGCAGTAACAATTCTTCCTCATTAATTTGAAGTAGTGTAGTGGGTAAAATTCATTCAAAAATTAATTCACTAATTTATTATTAATGCTAAAAGAACTCAAAGTATCTCATTATTATTTATTATCGCTATCAAGCAAATCTGACATAAGTATTCACACATGAGATAGACTCCTTAGGGGTCCACGGACTCCAGGTTAAAAATATCTGCCCTATGTTCTTGGTTGTTCTTAGATTGTAAATCTCTGAAGTTAGAGATATGAAAAATAGTATTTAGACTTTTTATAAAAAATGTTCTATTAAAATTGTTGTAGGCAAATTTTTATCAAATAAACCTACCTGTTTTGGTACTGGCAATAAAAATCTTAATGATTCTCGGTGCTGGCCAGCGATCAATTTTCTCCCCTTGTAACACCTCAAGGATGGCATCGTCTTGGTTTTTCATGTTATTGTTTTTGTATAATGTAGTTGTCTTAAAGAATTTTTATTAATCAATATAGATACTCTTAAAAATACAATGAAATCTATGTTAACGATTAGATTGTCAAATGTTTTCTAAGTAACGGATATTAAGACACTACATTAATTAAGCTTGGCTCTTATAGATATATATATTGCATCCCCAACATTGATGAATTCCATTTGGAACCTGAAAATAAATGAAAATTAAATANAATCGAAATCAACATTGTACAGCAGCTTCGTTTTATGATACGAGCCTTTATTAAGAATCAGTTTTGCGAAATTCATCGCCCAAGTCAGAGTTTCAAAACTTTAGTAAGTACGTTCAATTGAGTTGTTTTCGACCACGGACAGTTTTAGAAATAATCGCATTAAATCCAAAAATTATAATAATAAATAAAAAAATAATAATGGATAAAATTAATTGGATAATACATTAATTTTACCCTAGAATTCAAAGAATCTTATTAACAATAATGATTATACATTAGTTCGACGATTCTGTGACCTATACTCCTCAATGTTGCTGCTATCATCTCCTTGTAGCTTAGTGATAGAGTACTAGTGCGTAAAATCAGATGCCCGGGTTCGATTCCCGGCAAGGGAATGACAGCAGTAACAATTCTTCCTCATTAATTTGAAGTAGTGTAGTGGGTAAAATTCATTCAAAAATTAATTCACTAATTTATTATTAATGCTAAAAGAACTCAAAGTATCTCATTATTATTTATTATCGCTATCAAGCAAATCTGACATAAGTATTCACACATGAGATAGACTCCTTAGGGGTCCACGGACTCCAGGTTAAAAATATCTGCCCTATGTTCTTGGTTGTTCTTAGATTGTAAATCTCTGAAGTTAGAGATATGAAAAATAGTATTTAGACTTTTTATAAAAAATGTTCTATTAAAATTGTTGTAGGCAAATTTTTATCAAATAAACCTACCTGTTTTGGTACTGGCAATAAAAATCTTAATGATTCTCGGTGCTGGCCAGCGATCAATTTTCTCCCCTTGTAACACCTCAAGGATGGCATCGTCTTGGTTTTTCATGTTATTGTTTTTGTATAATGTAGTTGTCTTAAAGAATTTTTATTAATCAATATAGATACTCTTAAAAATACAATGAAATCTATGTTAACGATTAGATTGTCAAATGTTTTCTAAGTAACGGATATTAAGACACTACATTAATTAAGCTTGGCTCTTATAGATATATATATTGCATCCCCAACATTGATGAATTCCATTTGGAACCTGAAAATAAATGAAAATTAAATAGTAATCATTTATTATTGTTATTCTGAATACAGAATGTGTTTGTGTTTGTGTTGGCGTTGGTGTTTGGATTACGTATTTTAATAATACCATTGTGAACTGTTATATAGCAAAATTAGTAACAATAAACAATCNTACTACTCCTTCCGTCCTGACTTATCTGACTTCCTAGATATCTAAAATCAGCCACTTCTTCTATTCGCTCTTTCCCTACTTTTTCTTCCCTTGCATACTAGTATTTTAATTTTACTTTTATTTATTTTTATACAGTACTGATCCGTTAGTACCGCTTCCATTTTATTTAAAGCTATCTCTAAGTCCTCCTTGCTAGATGCCAATACTGCTATATCATCTGCAAATCTAAGCATACTTATCTTTTGCCCTATATATTATGGAACACATACAAAGTTAGTTAGTAATGACTTCCGTTCAGTCTGCTTCAGTAAGTTCAGTATGTCGCTACCATCACTTTCTAGTTTGGTTCCTAATGACTGCTGTTTGAAAAATGCAATAAGAGATTTTGTGTTTTTTATTCTTAATTTGCTAATTCGTTGAAGTTGAAGTTTATACCCAGAACATTTTATGGATTTTGTTACAAATTACATTATATATACAATGTACATTTTATATGTATACCCAAAATGAACAATCACGGCGATCATCGAAATCATATGACAACTTTCATCTTCACATTAAACGTGTTGATCACAATAAAGTCACGAACGCTGGGATTGGATAAATCCAAGCCAATTCGCTCACATTGGATGGACGTGGTCAAGTAACGTCATAGTGAGGGTCTTGGTGATCATTTTTGAGACGATTATAAGACCATTGAGCTCGTTATCTACCTCCTCACTGTGGCTGTTCAATGTCAATTACGAGATGTCATGTCCCAAGCAAGACTAAATAAGTAACTCATCCATTTGTATATATATATATATATATGTATATTTTCTACAAAATAAGAGTATGGGACATGAAATTGTGAATTCTCTAGACAGTCCTTAGTATTTCATAAAATCAGAGTTTCGCCATGAGATATCCTGAAGTATCTATGCAATTTCGTTTCATCATCATCATTTTTTAAATAGAGGTAAAAATTCCTCCAGTTTTGCATTTTTTTATTGGATGAACCCAATATCGCTAATGAACTTTAAGAAATGATATTTGTTCATCCTCATCTTTCGTGAAAGGTTAATTCCTTAAAAACTTGACGGTTACCGGCACTCTATCATGAGTCGGGCTTTGTGGGTAGTGGTGAAACATCCGTATCACGGCATTTTCAAAAATAACTTTTTATTTATCAAATGGCTTCACCCAAATAGCCCAATAAAAAAAAAACAGAAAACAATTTTATTTAGGTTTAAATTCCTGTATAATGAAAAAGGACATGAATACGGTACCACTCACATCATTGTCTTTCTCTGCCGTAACTTTATGATCTTAATTTAACCTAACCTAACCTAACCTAACCTTATGATCCTAAGCAATCAAATGAAAACATTCTTTGATTTTCGAATACTAAAAACCCTTTTAGCGCCATTAGAGTAAAATTTTAGCACAACTATTAACTTCCAAGTAGTAACTGCAATTATGAAATAGGTACTTCTTTACAAAAAAAAATATTTAAAACACATTCTCCCGACTTTTCGTTTTCGATTATAAGGTTATGATAGGAGGAGAGAACACGAACGAGGCTAATACGGACCTGGAAAGTTCTACGTGTATACCCGTAACGCGATGTGAGAAATTAGCAAAGGGCACAACAATAAATTATGGCTAGCGACCGAATTCGTTAAATGGGAACAACATATGTATACATATACTGCAGTATAACTTTTAATTTTTTTTTAATTTTCATATTGTTTTGAGTTGAATTGAATTGAATTAATAAGATGCTAAGTATTACGGTTTGTCATATGTATATTGTAATATGCTACAACTTCTGCGTTATTATATAAATAATAATTCATTGTTTATACAAAATCGTGGGTCGTGTAGTAAAATTTTAAAGTTAAATTGTTTCTATAATATGCTGTATATTATGGAGAAAAAGACAATAATAATGAGGCTTGTCGACATAAAGTTTTGCATTTCCCTTTTGTTCTGTTGATGAAAGCAATTTTCAGACACTTGACGGGAGATGTTCGGGTGCCAAGCATGAGACCCACATCAGTGGAAAGTCACACTTTTAACAAAATTATCTCAAGAATACGAGTTTTCAGCGATCTGCTTTCGTGATAACTTTTATACAACCAGACAAACTCAAATAAAGCTGCCGACGTAATGTTGAAATTCCATCGGGAACAATATGGGAAGTTTTTATCGGTTTGCCATAAGAAATAACTTTCAATTACTCAATTCAGTGTTCGAACAATATGACATGTCGGACACCAAAAGAAATATTTAATAACTTCCCTTTTCACTAATATTTAGTGCAAAAGTTTATTTTCCCATCTCAAACTTTTTTATTTTTATTGTTTTAGGATTATAGCTTTTCCATTATCGTAAGTTACTATTAAATTAGTTCTAAGTCAGAATATTTTTGAACTGATGTTATAGTCAATATTTTGTCGTGAAAAACGTCAATAGAACTTTAAAAGTTTGGTTGAAAATGAAGACAAATCACATACGTATATCTGTAATAATAATATTGATAAATAGAATGTAAATAGTAGAATGAAGATTCGGGCTATAGGGACGTGGTCTAAGTGAACCCTTCTGTCCAGACGTTTCGTCAGCTAGTGCGGCTGACATCCTCAGTGGTAGTGCTGCGTTGACAACGTGAACGTAGATTATATCTCGAAAGCTACTGGGTCAACAGCCCGAATCTTCATTCTACTATGGATTCCGGCCGTGAAAGCCTTTGTTCTTATAAATGGAGTGTAAGTTTGTAGAGCTACGATACATACATACAATTAGCTGACTATTTAAAAGTCTAATTACTAAACGAAACTGAGCCTTATAATTTAATGGAAGACGTCAATATCAATTTCAGGGATACTAAACTATTACTTTCGAACCAACTCGTCACGAATTGCGAAAGGAGTTTACCTACTCCTTAGATAACAGAAGCTGACTGAAGTGGGAAAATACAACACTTACAGCTTAAAAGTTCGTGGGGACTATGGAGATTATGCGCACTGTAAGACGCTATTCTTGTTTTTTATCCTTTCGTAGTATGTTTTTCGATAAAAAAATTATTAAATAAATGAATCATCTCTCCTTGAGCAACTTGGTCCAGTTTGCCATGCAAAATGAAATCGTTTGTGATGTCACACATTTATATATAATAACTGATCGGTTCTTGGATCAAGGAAAAGAAAGAAATAAAATTGCACAACATTATTTAGTCAACTGTTAACGTGGTTAATTGCTTTTGTGATTTGTGCAGTTTCAGAAATATAGATAAGCCTAATTGGATGAGTTTTCTCACAGAGTAATCTTTATGCTAAAATTTAGATACTAAGTTTTTATTATTTATTAAACTTTACCGATATAGGATGATTTAATTCATTCAAATAATATAAAGCTGTGACCGTAATTTCGAGGTAAACGTATTTGTATTTCTTTACAGTTGTCTTGAGCACTGTCGTACGACTTTGTCCTTCAGTATTCATCTAATTATTTTGGGTCAAACGCTAGCAATTGTACTGTCGTGAGACTCTGCTCGTCAGTACTGTAATGACATAAATATTTGCGACGGGGTATTTTGTGAGACTCTACCCTTAATACTCATTGCACGTTCGAAATATTTGATGGAATGATTGGAGTGGACACTTCGTGAGACTCTGCCCTTAGTATCATTGCACACTCAGCATTCCTGGAGTAGTCATTGTGTGACATTTGCCCGTAACTACTCTCAATGATAATC